ACTTATTCACAGGGTAGCCTACTGGGAGAGGTGAAGGTGCAGGCCTAGAGTTGAAGTCCAAGGAAGCAAAGAGGCCTCAGCTCTGTTCTTTATACCAACAAGTGGATTGTGCTGCCTGGCAAGCACAAGGTCCTAGGTTCAATCCCTGGTACCCAAATAAAAAAATTAAATAATAATGATAATAATATACCAATGAGTAACTCAGGAGAGACTATGAGTGCTGGTCTATGTCTATGGGTTGGTTTTAGTCTTGAGAGCAACTAGTAACTAGTCACTGGGCTCTAACTTGGTTCTCTGTTCTAGTCACAGTCTTTCTCCCTGTGGACAGAAATAATTCTCCCAGTCTCCAAAGTAGATATAAATCTTTGACATTTTCAAATCAGCTGAGATTGTTTCTTGATGATCCACATAGTAATTTTCATTGATCATTTTAGCAGCCAAAGATTAGTTGATTCTGTATATGTGATAAGGGAGAACTTTTTTGCTTCTTCCTCTATCTTCTTCCTCTTTTTCCTGTTCTCACTTAAACTTTGACCTTGTCAATGCAGTATGATCATCTGAGGCTGCCCTTTTGGGGGGTGGTAGAAAAGGAGAAACAGTTAACGGTGGTTGTACTTGTCTGTGTCAGGGACTCTCAGCTGGTGAGGGGCAGCGCTTGAATCTGAACCCAGTGCTGGCATGGACCTTGCTCATGCCCTGTGCTGCCCCCCCTCCCCCCCCGCCGCTTGCTCTGCCTAGAAATGTCCTTTTCCCTTCTATGCCCTATGCTTTTAGTTTCCTTCCATACAAAACCACTTCTTCCAGTTAGAATTGCATATCCTCTGTGGGAGTCTCCCTAGAAGACTGACCTTCAAATATCTATTAATTTTGACTCACAATAAGAAATACATTTTGCAAAACAAAAAACAAAAAATAAAAACATTTCACATTGCTATCCAGGGCCAGGATACTTGAATGTTAATTGTTTTTTATTTATTTTTTTGTGGAACCGGAGATTGAAGTCAGGCCCTTGCGCCTGCCAGACAAGTGCTCATTCTACTGAGCCATCTCCCCAGCCCCCACTTGAATGTTTGAAATGAAAGCTTCAGGGGGAATCCAGTGCTTCTGACAGCACTAGATCTATTCCATATTTGAAGCAATGTCGATTGTGACTCAAATTACTATCATGTCTCACTATTATGAGTTGACTACAGTTTGGAAAACTTCTCTGCACGGGCTTTTTTCCCTTCAACACCTTGTTGCACATCTCTCAGCCCAGAAGGGCTCTGGCTCTTCACGGAGAGAGTTGGGCCTCCTCCCTTGGTGCACAGGTAGTCTCATCCGGGTCCCCAGGCAGGGGTTCGATCCTGACACCACAAGCAGTGTGGGCCCTGCCCCCCAGGGCTTGCTGAGCCTGTGATTGAGACTGGGTGTGGTGGTGCGCCTGTAATCCCAGCGCTTGGGAGGCTGAAAACAGGAGGATCACTGCAGGTCTGATCTATGTAGTGAGACCTTGTAGATCCTGTGCTAAGTACATTAAATTATAATAATATAAAATTTATCATCTTTCTTTTTAGCAGTACTAGGGACTCAGTTGAAGACTCGAATATATGTTCACATTGTACTTCCCAGGG